GGGGGGGGAGTCCTTTCGCTCATTTTTGTTGCTTCTTTTTTTCGTTTTATTTATTGTTTTACGTTTTGTTGTATTGTTCATTTTGTCTTGAGTTTTAAAAAAAAAACCCAACTAAAAGAGCTCAAATACGTATTGCTGAATTTCAACAAGAACTCCTGTAAACTGTTTCTTGCGGCCTGGTTCTTTTTCCTCTTTGGGATCCCTTCTTTGCTCTATCTGTTTGTCGACTGTTGGTTCTTCAACCCGAAGTACAATTGTTAGGCATCGTGGTGCAATCAGGCTCTCGTCAATTTATAGGCATGTGGAGTTTTTGGTATCATCTTAAAGCTTGCTCACTTGCCTTTATTTGGATGAGAAAAAAATCATTTTATCTTGAATACATGTCGAGATATTTGCGTATGAAAGAGGTGGGGGTCACCTGTTTTCAGAGGTAACATTAGTGAGAAAATGGCCGCCAAAGATTAGTTATTTCCTTAGCTTACGAGTCCGTGGTAACTGAAAATATACATTTGTTGTGGCTTAATCAACATTTGTCAGAAAAATCCACTCAGAAATGAGTTCTTTAATGTGCATGAAAGGTGTTGAGCTAAAAACAAATTGGATAAAAATTCACAAACCTGCGGAAAAATGCAAGTTTCTTCATTTTGATTATTTTGACGAGAGCCTGATTCCACCACGCTGCATCACAACTGATTTTTATGTATGTTCCTGTCTTTCCTACTGCAAAGGAGCCCTTGCCTTTAGGCAGCCACATTCTGGTTTCGTTTTTATACGGACAAAAGTATTTAATTGCTCTAGTTGTAGTAGGAATTAATTCTAAATTTTCCCCGGTTGACTGCCAAAGCCTACTTTTATCGATTTTAGGACCACACAGCGATCTTTATTGTGTGCATTTTACACAGAGGACCTCAGAGGAAGGTTAGTAGTTTGTTCTAATCTTGCCTCATTGCAGGAGTGTGGCTATGAGTGTGGAGGACCTAGCTGTGGCAATAGAGAGAGTTAGAAGTAAAGTAGAGAGAAGCCTAGAGAAGGCCGGGTTACAGAGATCAAAGTGGATATGAAAGCAGAAGACATAATATGATCGGAGAAAAAAAAAGAAGGTTAAATGAAATAGAAATAATTCAGTGAAGTAAAAGTTTTTCTTCGTGGACAAGTTTCGAACACGGGAACCTGTGAATGAGAGGCGAACACCGCACCCCTACACCACGAAAGCCCCATTGTCTGGTTAATGTTCTTATACAATGTTGTATGTGCGGTTAATCTTCTTGAATACTGTATTTTCTTTATTTTTTTTCAATACTATTATAGTGAAACGCACTGTTTTGTTCTCTAAAACAAACTGCTTTACC